CTCTCTCTCTCTCTCTCTCTCTCTCTCTCTCTCTCTCTCTCTCTCCCTCCCTCCCTACCTACTGTATTTCTCTCTCTCTCTCTCTCTCTCCCTCTATCTACCTATATACCTACCTACCTACTCTCTCTCCCCCTACCTATCTACTGTATTTCTCTCTCTCTCTATTTTTTTCTCTCTATCCCTCTACTTACCAACCTACTATTCTCTCTCTCCCTATCTACTGTATTTCTCTCTATCTCTATTTTTTTCTCTCTATCCCTCTACTTACCAACCTACTATTCTCTCTCTCCCTATCTACTGTATTTCTATCTCTTTCTATTTCTTTCTATCCCTCTACCTACCTACCTACCTATCTACACACTCTCCCTCCCTCCCTACTGTATTTCTCTCTCTCTCTCTCTCTTTTTCTTTATTTCTTCCTTCCTTCCTTTCTCTTTCTCTCTGTGTCAGTGGTGGGTTTCAAAATTTTTTAGAACCTCTTCTGTAGGTGTGGCCTGCTTTCTGGTGGAACCTCTTCTAACCGGTTCGGTAGATTTGACGAACCGGTTCTACCGAACTGGTAGGAACCCACCCTCTGACCCTGGGGCAGTCCTCAATGAAAGAGTTTGACACCCCTGACCTAGATACTTCCAATGGGGGCTCAGCTTCCTTACACTAATCTGGCGATTTCCGAATCAAAATTTTTGTATTTGCTGCTTGCTTGAAATCTTTCATTTCGTAGTACTTGCTCCTGTTAAGGTTACTGATGTTTCAGAAGCATTCCCTCGCATTTTGTAAAAATTGTAGCACTAGTGGTCTTAAGGAACTCAAGTTTACTTTAATTTCTCCCCCCGCAGACTTCAGTCGACATTCCTGGCTTGCAGCTAAGCAATCAGGACTACTACCCCTATGTCTATTTCAAGATTGATTTCAGCCTTCTCGATGGCAGCTAAAGTGTGCAGCGCCAAGCATGACTTTCCCCCCCACAGTATTGTAGGATGAGAACGAAATGTCATCTATTTGGTTTTTAATGCAATAAACGTAATTGGAATGCGTCCCTTCCGATGCAGAAAAACCAAGGAGTTTTAAGCAAGAGATAATTGTAGTTCCTAGATTTGGCTTGTAGAGTGGTTTTTTTTCCCATTTTGACAATTAAAAAGATACTGGAAGCTTTTTTTTTCTGATTGTATTAGAAAACATGCTTCACCAGGCATTGTGTTATTGTTGTATTTATTCTGTTGTTAATTACAAAACTCCTGATCATCTAAGGTTTTAAATAAAATCAAGATATCTGGCGGTTAAGGTAGAAATATCCTGGAGTCATAAATCTGTAATTGGGTTTAATCTATTGATTCAGTCAACACAACCGTTACACAGTGAAATTTCGGGGGGGGGGGAATAACATTTGGAAAGTTTAATTTTAATCTGGTTGCTTCAGTGTAGCATGTAAGAAATCTGGACAGAAAATTTTTCTCCCTTCTTTCAGTGAAATAGTTTCCCCCTTCCACTGAAGAGTGACTCACTGCAGACTTAACACAAAACTTGAAATCTCATTTTGTCAGTTTGTTGAAACTAGTATGGCCTTTTAAGTGTCCAACATGATTAGAATAAATGGTGTTTCCTCTCAACACCTTTGATTGACAGCGTTACAGTATAATTGGAACCTCCTTCAATAAATAAAGTCCAATAAATGCCTCCAATGATGCTGGAATCCTGGAGTAAAGTGAGCCTTTTTTTAAAAAGAAAAATATTTTAAACATTCTTGGGGCAGGAGAATTTAATACTGACACTGGGATTTTTCTCATGTTCCTTCCAAAGAAATCATTGTCTTCTGTTATAGGAGTATTATACTTTATAATTTCATCTTATTCTACAAATTAGTCTCAAGTCATAATTCTGGGCTATGTGAGAACATTATTTGTCAGAGGCAACAAGAATTAGCTGATGGGTTACTGTTTTTCTTGCGTTACCATGAAGGAACATTAGTTCTTAGCAATAGCAGTTAGACTTATATACCGCTTCATAGGGCTTTCAGCCCTCTCTAAGTGGTTTACAGAGT